TGAAAATTAAATGAGTTTGTATATTCCAAAATCAGCTGCCCTTTTTTCATTCACTTTCCAATATCAAAAGATCAAAATTCTGCGTCAAAGGTGTATACTCACCTAAGTTAGGAGGGAGATCAACACGACGACGGGTCAGAGTCATCGACGATGGCTTCACAAATTTGAACATAGACGGAGAGTAAGGCAAGGTGTCTTAAACGTTATAAAATGTAAGATTCAAGTTTGAGCCTTCTCGCATATTTGTAGTATTACATTAAAAAATTATTATTGTCTTTACTATTAGGTTGGTCCATAATTTCTTTTTTAATAACGTAAACAACTGAACTGTTCTTGGAGTGAAGTTTTGTCTTTCTGATGTGTTTATTTGAAACAATATGCATTGACCTTGTTTAGCACACCTTGTATAAGGGTCAGGAAATGCTCACTGCCTTGCTGAATTCCACAGACCTATGATCAAAAAAATACAAGATTTCGATCATGAGATTATGTGCTTAACCTAAGACTTCTTTCGAATAGAACCAGGTAGAAGCAAGTGATCATTTGTTGAAACGAGGTCAGGGCTGTTGATGAAAAAAAGAACGGCCCGTCCGAGTCTTCAGATTTTCCTGGTAATCAATTCAAGGAACGGTGGGAAAGTGACAAGATCACGGTGTTGTTGGATAGTGCTTGAGGCTGGTGTGGGCTCGGCACATGTGGACCCCATTTTTCCAAATATTTCCTAGTTTTTTTTTGAAATGCCTGAATACTGTCAACGTGGCCCTTAAGAAGTGCTCTATCAAACAATGGCTATATTGCCCAATCGTTCTGAAGCCTCGTGTAGAACTGGACGTAACGGGAGACTAACATGTGGATCATGCATATAATAGAGCAAATACACTAGACTGAACCAGTGCTATACCGTGACCCATAAAAGCATGCCCTTCCCTGCCTCAGATCTCAACATTCGTGCAGCCGGCCTTCGGAAAAACCTGATCGGTACTCACAAAAGCACCTTGGGATGTTAAATTGAAATCTAAGCCATGGAAAGAGCACGCTGGCCTGCAAGCTTCTTATATTGGCCGAAGTAGATGCTAATTGGTAAGACACGTATTAAGCATTCAAGATTTTTCTACCAAATTTCATGACAATAAAAGTGAAATGCTTCAGAAACTACGGACCAACCTAATATTTTCAACCACTATTCCCACACAAATTCAATTTTGCTGTTTGAACGGTTTGTTTACTAAAATTATGGCGACAGTGCCGAAAATTTGACGGAAGCATTGAGGTGAATCTTTTCTTCTTTAGAAATCAGTAAAGCTTTGAAAATTTTCCTGCACATACGAATTCTTTCCTGCACACGAGTGCTTCGAAAGAAAACTTTGATTGCACCGAGGGGGAGACGAAATCAAGAAATGAGATGGTGTATTAAACCTACCTAGATTTTAAATCAAATTATCAAACCTAGCAAACTCGCTGATCCTCAAGGAACTAGTCGACTGAAACTCGAAAAGCTCACACTCAATGTCAAGTGGTCTACGAACAGGAAGAATATGAACACGTCGTGTGCTACTTGTAACATGACCATTGCCAGGATCTTTTTCAGCTGCACCTTAACAGTTTCACATACGTTTTAGAGCAACAAAAACAAAGTGCGATAGCAACCACATCCATTAAATAAAAAACTAACTAGGTGGCGGTGTCTCGTTATAATGGAAGCGCAAACTTGAGTAGTTATGGTCTCCTCCTGAAAGAAAAAAATGTAGAGTCGTGCACTTTTCATTAAACACGGCTGAGCTTCTGAATCCAGTTGGATAAAAAGCCAAAAATTGTCCAACACTGTAAAAAGACAAGAGGCCTGGTTATACACGCTAATATACCTATATAAGAAATGCTAGTCTGAGTCACAGGTTTATGCAATGGAAGCGTCAACTAATGTTGCATATGCCACCAACGATGCAGTATGAGATGAACTGACCAATGGAAGAGAAACCCGTGACACTCCACTGAAGTGCTGGTTACGTCGGCAGATGACGCGGTTGTTGAGCACTTCTCCCACTCAGTTGACTTAAAATAAACATATATATTCAAACAACTCACGAATTATCATGTCTCACTGCTTAAGACAGAGTATAACATGTTGATAGTTTTTGAAAAACTTCCTATGTGCACGCATTCATTCTATGCATAAGTGGTAGATTTGTGGTTTGCGAGATATATAGCTAATTAATCAGAGCACCTTTTTATCCGCGAATCAGAAAAAAAAGATAAATTCACAGAAATAAAATTTCTGGAAAGGGAGGAAAAACGATCACAACCGGCATGCCATAGCATGCATCATTTTTGGTTGGTATTAGTAAGCGATGCAGCGGTTATTATTTGCGATCTAGCGATTTTTCGGGTAGGTACATGTTGCTCATCGACCATGTGATCGTGTGATCATACCAATGAATCATATTTACTACCACTCAAACCGCAAACAAATGGCGGAGCAGTCGCAAAACCTATAACAAGCTGTGTACTTTTACAGCAATTATAGTCAGAACTCCGCTACTGCACTGTTGTACCAGCAGTAAACCCATTTCTTCATTCTGATGTTTAGTAGCATTCCTAACAAAACGACAGTATTTAGCAGGAAAAAGCTTTAGTCATTTAAGAAGAAACCTAGAAATTTTACCCACGTTCATGCCTCTTAAAAAGACGAATTTGCCAAAACGTTCACTGTTTTGTTAGAGTTGGCACGAGAAATTAAAAAAAATAGAACCACGAGCGAGGTTTTATGAAAAAAAAGTCAGAAAAACTTGTTATCACAATGTTTGGAGCAAGGTTTTTTTTCTGCGACCATTGCGACTATTCCATCCTAAACTTGTATGGCTGCTCTAGAAATTCTCGTAACTGTACAGAAATCCTAACGTAGTAATGTGCTTCCCGTTAATACATCGCTTTTCTAAAACGTATTCACAAATCCTAAACTAAGGAAAAAACTTCCGCAGTTTCATGATTCCCTTGGTGTTGTGTTTTGAAATTCCTAAAATATTTAAGAATATGTGAGTCTTGAAAAACCTACGGGTTGAGTGGCGTGGACAGTTCCGTTGTCAGCTTCCCCATGTTCCATTAATTTACTGAAAATAGAAATAAAGAGGCACCATTTTATCTGAATATGCATATCACAGAAAGCTCTATGGCTAGATAATACTACACACCTTTTAGGGGACTTGTTCTTGGTCGCTTTCGGAGAAGTTCTTTGCTGACTCTTCCTTTCTGCTCGCTTCTTTGCCTTCGCCAGTAACATCAATATAAGACCGCGGCAGAGCATCGCCTCCCTCCTCCTCGTCGCTGGTGGCACTGCAATGATCAACAATTCTTTATATAAATGGCCCATTTTTCAGCCAAGAAAATCTTTATAAAAATAAATGTAGATTCGGTAATCAAACACAAAGATTGGGTAGCTTCAAAGCAATTACAAGCCCGACTTGAAACTCATAGTGAAATTTTTCCCATTCGAAACAAAGCTTGCGCGGCACACAAATTGGGACCGAGATAATTATATTCGTCTTGTATAAGCATATTTGATCAAATTCAGAGCTTTCCAGCTATCCGTTACTATTAAAAGTCACACTCGCACAAATACTTGTCCAACTCACTATTACCACATTTTCAAATAGCAAAAGATTAAAAACTAATGTGAGTGAGTAGAACTATCATAAACTTGGGCAGAATAGTAAGCTTCAGAGAAACAGTACTGGCATTACACTGTACGATGGTACAGTTCCTAGCGCTTTAGACCTTGTTAACCGTTTTTTTTTCACCATGTTTTTGTAGTACACGAACAAATAAAATACATTGGAAACTGTACCTTTCTTCAGTTAAATCATCTCCAGTTGTAACAGGTGGAGAGATAGGCTGCGACTTAGCAACTTTAGCTACCGGAGAGTGCTTTCGTTTCGACGAGATCGGAACATGTTGCTGAAAGCCATTAAATTACTGAATAAATTCAAACATTACAAATTTTCGCAATTCTTCACGACCTTTAAGAACGTGAACTGGGCAGAATAATTCTGAAATTTCACCTTATTTGAAACTTTTTCAACGGCAGGTTTCTCTGCAGCATGTGTTGTAGCAGATGATGTGGGAGACCAATCAATTGGTTTCTTGATTTTCTTTTCTAAAACATCAAACAAGAAGTTATATACAGCAAATTTATCGAAATATGCGAACAATTTGAAGTTACCTCTTCTCGAATGGCGAACTTTTGGAGTTTCGTGGTGGGAAGGAGTCGTTTGTTGTTTCCGTGACGAACCTAGTATCGATTTTTCGGATATCCATTCATCGTAGCGCTTGTTCCATCCTTGGTAGTGAACAAAGTACTCCTTTGTTGCGGAATTGGCGTGAATAATCTGAAAGACAACTGCTCAGAAGTCAAATTTTTCGCTAGCCGAGATCAACCACAAAGGTGAATGAAGATATCCTCGAATAACTTGCTATTGTGGGTCGAGCTAAATGAGCAAAAATCTAGGCCGTACAGACTCTTTTTTCTTCCTTGCTTATCCACTGACTAAATGGCAGCCTGAATACTTTTACTTTATCAAACCGTTATACCCTGATTGAACGGAAAAAATTTCAGGCGTTGTGTTATATTCCAATGGAAAACACAACTGCAAGCACTGGTGGGCGCTCTATCTAGAAACGCTATAAAATTGAAAAATACTGCTGGTTTTCCTGGTATACCAAATGACGATGATTTCCTCATATATGAGGCAGTAGCACTTGACTTATTACGGTGGCAGGAACAAGCTAATCCTTTTGCTCCTCAATTTCTACATAAATTTTGCTATGTGAGTGGATTCTAAATTTGTTATTAGTTACATGCCTGGCCCCTTTAATTCTGAAGAATATTCAGAGCAATCGATATAGTAATCGAAGGATGCAACATTTCTTGATAATAACAAGCTTCAGCACAGTCACCACCGTCAACGGTTCCATCGCTATTCAGAAACACAACCTGATCGTGTATTTTCGGTTCCGCAATACAATTTTCACATGCTATTCGGAAACCGTAGCTTATGTCAAGTGACAGGTGATATAAGCTCACATGTGAACTCTGCTGTAATGTAAAATAGAAACAAGCATCATGTCGACGTACCTTCGCTTCGTATTCAACCGGTTTCGATCCCCACATACATCGTACAACGTCTCCAACGCTATATTCCATTGCAAGAGCTTGACTATCCTTTGAACTTGTTGCTCTGAAATGAAATAATAAGCAACCCGACACTCACATGAAATAAACGGCCCAACGATAAGACCTAAGATAGCGCGCGGATATCGTGGTTCGGTTAGCGGAATACGGCGGCGACAAAAATCAATAGAAAGCAGCGTTGTTGAGCGTCTGCGGCTTGTTCAGCAACGCAATGGACAAACGTGGGTAGGTACGCCACAATGTAATAAGGGATGCACAAGAACTACTGAGAAAAACTTGTTAGTACTTCACAAACACGATGGAAAGAGGACTAACCGGAGCCGGGCAGGATGCGCAATGAATTACGGTGGCGGCCACCGGTGCGGTGTTCCGCCCACTTGGAACTTGAACTGACCGTGGGAAACGCGCGATTTCAGGATGATCTCATAAAGTTTGATTCCATAAGAAATGAAATGCCATTGTTATTCCCTACATTTACCACACCTAACCTGCCTATGTAGTGCCTCCCACAACTTACAACAGTTTGTATTTTATGAGCAGAGCAGTGTGATTAGCCACAGACTGCTAGAGAATGGGCCATGTTATACCCTTTCATAGCGTTCTTTGGTAAATCAGAAACAGTTTTCAGAGTGCAAATCTCATCTGTGAAGCTCCACATGAAACAATTAATACCATGGTTACCCACTGTGTAGATATTGATCGAAAGTTCTGTTGCCAAACAGCGTAACCTGCCTATTTCTACTACACCAACATCTTTAGGCAGACATCAGTAAAAAACAACTTCTAATTATTTAGAAACGGATACATCATTGCCGATGATAAGGTGAGGACTAGCCTGCTTTTCAGAGTGAAGAAAACCACGGAATATTCTCTGAAGCCACACTCAAGACACGCCCACTTTACCAAAATTACGCTTTTTGCGAATTAAGAAACACTCAAAACATTCAAACACCAACAACTGAAGATAAGATGACTCATAGAGACACCTACCACGTGGAAACAGGTGGACAACTGCCCACGATGGAAGTGTAACCGCCAGAATTCCAACATATCTGTTTTCATTTCACGAAACGAACACTGCTTTATCATGATCTCAACAGAACTTTTGCAGGATCCGTCGATCAGAAAACTGCGTTCTATTTCTCGATAATTCCTGTTCGAACAACAACTTCCATTCAATGTTTCTCCTTACTAAGGTTTATTCACACCAATAAATAATAAAATATAAAATTATCACAGACATTTTTGACTGAGATAGATAATACTTCGTTTCAGTGAAGCTTGTCAGTGAAAGCATGTAGTTCAACAACGATCACATTAAATATGGCAATTGTAAGAAATTAGAAACACAGTGAAATACAGGTTGCGATTGCAGAGTGTTACTAGGCCATAGGATTCGCAGTCATCAGGGCCACATCAGAGGCAACCATTTCTTTGGCGAGTTCCTGTCAAGAAAAAATTATTACGGAAACGTAAAAATAAACAGAAGGCAACAGACGAGCGGTTACCTCTACTGAGATTTTAGCCTCCCATCCGAGCACTTTCTTTGCTTTAGAAGCATCGCCGAGCAAGGTTTCCACTTCTGTAGGGCGATAGTACTGAAATTTTGCTCAATTTTGATAGAATCAGCGGAGAAACAAATTTTGCAACCAATAAGTTTGTACAACCTACCTTAGGATTGACTTTAACACGCACAATATCGGTCCCCTTTTCCTTCCCAACTTCGTCGACGCCTTCGCCTTCCCATCTGCAAAGTAGCAAACTTTGAATAAATGAAGTCTTTTCGTACACGAAAACGGCAGCGAAACCACAGTGACAATTTCCAAGCTTTTGTAAGCGTGGAAGCAACCTAACACACTGTACTCAACGTAAAAAAATAAAAAGCTATGAGCAAGAATAACTGCTAAGGAACAAACTTCAACTCCATCCCGATTTCCTTGAATGCTAGGTTGCAGAACTCCCTCACTGTGGTTTGTTTTCCGGTGGCAATAACGAAGTCGTCAGGCTTTATCATGCTGTAGAATCCTCCACATTGCCTTAAAAATAACATATACAGGTCCGCTCTGCAGAAAAATAAAACATCAAGTCCGAGATCGACACTAAGAACCACGAAGAAGTAAAACGTTCCGTATGCTCACTAAACGTACCTCAACATATTCTTTAGCATGTCCCCAGTCACGAAGAGAGTCTAGATTCCCAAGTTCAACGCAGGTCTGCTGGCCCAAGCTGATCTTGGCAACTGACCGAGTGATTTTGCGAGTGACAAATGTTTCACCTGAAACATCCACACTAGCGAATTTTGGTGTGTGCAACGAATAATATGGGAACAGCTGAGTTACATGCCTAAAATACACACAGAAAATCTCACGACTCTCAAGGGATTGATGTTCATTATAGAAGAAACAAAAAATCTTAACAACCTGTCCTACAAATGCCGCAGTTGAATGAAAGTCAGGAACCCCTTAAGGCCGCGTTCATAGTTCGCGACTCGGGAGATTATATAGTAGGCGACAGGATATTAGGATAGTAGTAGAGTAGGAGATTGCGCTGACAAGATTGGATACGTATCGATTGAAATCGCTGGAGAGTAGTAGATTGGGCGACTTCAAGCGAATAGATCAATACATATCTAATCTTGTCAGCGCACTATCCTAATCTACTACTATCCTAATCTCCTACTCTACTACTATCCTACTATCGTAATATCGCAATCTACTACTCTCCAGGCGATTTCAATCGATACGTATCTAATCTTGTCAGCGCAATCTCCTACTCTACTACTATCCTAATCTCGCCCGTCAATACATATGTTTTTCATTGTCGCGTAATATGAGAAACTGACCTCTTCTTGGACTCTCGTGATTGAAAAGAATACCATTACAGGCAAACATGTTGTAAGCTTCTCGGTAATTAATGACGATCCAGTAAGCATACATCTTAGCGACAGCTTAAAAATTACTAATGAGTTAATTATTCACTGTCACTATCAATCCATTATTTTCGTAACAATAAACAATACCATATGGTGAACGGGGGTAGAACGGTGTGGTCTCCTTTTGTGGGGTTTCCTGAACTTTGCCATACAGCTCCGAGGTTGATGCTTGGTAAAAGCGAACCTAAAATTCGCACGGAGCATGGAAACTTTTCGATGAAAAAAGAAAAATAGATATAATGACCACAAAAATGAGCACTATTTCTTGAGAGTACATTTACAAAACAAAAAAGAAAAGTTGAAGATTAATTTGATGATTAGAGTGGCAGCCACTGCCTAAAATGACCCAGACCTGGTAAAATAAACATGGGAACAAGCTATTACTTTTCTCACCATAACAGAGAAGTGAGTCGAAGACAAAAGAAAGTTGCGCCGCTTAAAACGCGCACGGTTTACAAGCCAGCTAGTTTGGATAGCGCTTAAGATAGACGAGCCCTCCATCTCTACGAATATGTTTTTGGTACCACTCGTACGAGTAGATAAAAACAATGAATTGTAATCGGTTAGCCCGTTAACAATTACGCAGTCCAAAGCGCATTTAATCGTGTCTTCAGTTTCGAAAGCACGTGAATGCACGGCGCAATACAAAATGACTGTTCTACGCCATACAGCTCACCTCTTCTTTTTGAATTAGGAAAATCTACTGGAGCTGCACTACAAAACAACGCAAAAGTGGACAGCCGAACGCCGGTGTCCGCATTTTTGTAATATTTGAAAAGCAAAAGGAGGTCCCGCAAACCGACTACGGGTCTATTCCAGTTAGGGGGCATCATGATGCAGTTTTTCCAGAAAGCTAGGGTAACTCCGAGCCAGGGGAGTGTAGCCAGTCTAGGGGGTGGGGTGAGGGCAGTCACTTGACATGCGTGAAAAGCTGGAATGTTCGAGTTCACACTAGTTCGCCGAGAAACTGCATCATGATGCCCCCTAACTGGAATAGACCCCGAACTCGAATATGTTTACACCAGATTTGCCCGGCAACCACTGAGATGTGAGCTTTGCGGTCCTCCTCCTCCCTTACTCTCCCCCCCCCTCTCACTCCACCTGCCGCCGCAGCGCCATGGGAATGGGCAAGCCCTGCGAGTTTCCGGCCTAATTGATCCATAAGCTGCTTTATCACTCCCTTTTGCGGATGGACAGACAGACAAACTTACAAACAAACCGACATACCAGGATTGCGGTTTATATAATGAGGAGATAGCCAGGAGTGAGAAAAAAAAGTAATTCGAAAAAGTAGTGAATTTACCTTCTCAGTCAATCCACATGCATGGATAGCGTCAAGCAATCTCAAGGTTCCAACTGCATCCACTTCAGCTGTATATTCAGGTAAATCAAACGATACCTAAATGTAGTAATGAGAAGAATTGTTAAGTAGGAATAACTAACCAAAAGGTTCACGTAATAATTACCTTTACGTGAGATTGTGCAGCAAGGTGATAGACTTCTGTAGGTTGAATTTTAGAAATAAGTTTAATTAGACAAGATGAGTCGGTCATGTCACCATAATGTAAAGCGAATGAGGAGTCACCTGAAAGAATTTGAGTTTTTCGCTTGGACAATGATACAGCATCACATTTCTTAGCCTTTTTCCATAACGCGGCGTTTACCACACCCACGATTCGGTGGCTAAATCTCGGTTAGAACCTTGTCGAGGTGAACAAAGCTTTCTATCATAACTATTGTAAACAGATCATGAAAAGCTGAGTTAGGGCAAAATGCCGTCCCGGTAGAATTGTCGGTGCACTTGCCCGTAAAGCAAGAGTACGGGTAGAGTTTCGGCTGACCAGGCGAACCTTGTCATAACCCATCATCTGTGAAACCTTAGAAAGGCAAACTGCACGCCAAAACGCAGTTAATCTCCTCGAAACAGTCAAACTCTAGCACACCTACTAATGATCCACGTTCACAAGAAAGGATAGAAAGATTGCGTCGCCACATAATGACCTCGCAGTCATGGGGAATATGAAACGGTCAATGTCACTCGAATTCAAACTGCAAGTTAAATGCGTGGCGCAATGCATTATGGCTTGAGCCAAGGCCGAATATTTATATAGCAAGAACATATGAATTTGGTAGAATTTCACAGGTTTGAGATCAGCTGGTTGAATAATACATTTGTTGTAGGCACAATATCGGGCTACCCTGAACTGCTTTCGCAAGGATAACTAGGCAAATGAAGGCCCTAGCCTGGGAGACTTTCAAACACACAAAGCATGTTCCCCATTTGTTTAGGTATCTACCCATATTTTTCGCTAGTCGTGCGCATTGTGTGTATCTTTTAATTCACTTTCATCTTGGTCCCTCATCACTACGTGGGTTTCACCTTGTCCGATTTTTGTTTCTCCTTTTTGATCACAATTTATGGTTCCATGTGGCTCAGAACCGCTGGTAGTTCCTTCTTCCGCTCGAAGATCTTGCCCACCACACCACCGTCAAAACGGGTTGAAACCTGTTTTGAATCGACTACTATTGATCACTTGTATCTAGCGTGCTCAAATTGACTACAGCTAACCATAAGCTTGTGACACGATAAACGTGTTTTTACCTGCAAAACGGGAAGAACTGACGATCTTCCCTTATATAAGGGCAACAGAGCCGTAAACTTTTCAAAGGTGTAAGCATTGGTGATACAGTTCATATCTCGAAGTCTGATTGGGCGTGTCACCGGAAATGACGTGGCAGCCACCGCACTTGATAGATGTTGTGTGGATAAAATACTCCGCCAGATATCAGCAAAGCGTGTTGGAAGCAGCTTATCCGCGCAACTTCTATCAAGTGCGGTGGCTGCCACGTCATTTCCGGTGACACGCCCAATCAGACTTCGAGGCAGAGTCAACCCTGCGTTGCGCAGTTTTCAACGGCCACGTTGCGCAGTTTCGCCCGATTAGACACGTTCTCTCGCGCGAACATTCACACTCGCATGCTCGAGCCGTCTGTGTCTCCGCCCATACAGCGTGCGTTGAGGATCTCTCAACGTGCCGTTGCGAACTGCGCAACGCAGGGTTGACTCTGCTTCGACAGGTACGTCGACATCTCGAATCTTGCTGGAGACGTCACTGGAAATGACGTCAGGCAGCCACGAGCAGTTGATAGAATGGCGGTATTAGCTGCTCCACTCTTTGCTGATGCCGGCGGAGTCCTCATCCACACAACATCTTTCAAGTGCGGTGGCTGCCGCATCGTTTCCGGCGACAGGCCCGATCAGACTTTGAGATATCGACTGTAGCGTTTTTCGTTATCACGTGAATACAGAAGTTCTTAGTGACTGCCGGCAGGTGTTGTTGACTTTCTTCACTTTGCACTTTTTATTGTGAATGTTCAATCCGAATTCGTTTTCTGCGCCTTGGAAGATCCAGAGAATCCGCGAAAAGAATTAGACACATACCGACGGATTTGACTTGTTCGTATGAAGAGTCGGAGGTTGAATCAGCACATAATCAATTTTTTCACTGATTATCGGATCTCTCAATGTTAAGCCGGTGTCAGAAGTCCGCGATCCGTCGCAGGTTTCGCGCGATTCGCACGACGAGTCACAGAAATCACAATGCCCGATCAATACTGCGAGGTGCTCTTCAATCCCGCCATTCTGCTTGATGGTGATGGCTGAATGACGACTGTTCATGATTCTACTTGTTTCATATTCAGTGTTTCAAATGTTCAAATGGGGCACTTGCAATTTTTGCGATCTGCGTGAATCACGCGAAACCTGTGGCGGATCGCGGACTCTGACACCAGCCTTATGGGTATGAAGGCGGCCCCATAGATTTCGAATGAAATAAAACGAACAAGTGGCGCCAGGAGAGAGCAAAGGGTTGCTGCTCACGTCGTTCCCCAGGATTTCTGGAAAATAACCTTAAAAATTTCGAATTGCTGAATGGAGGAGAGTAGACATTCGCGAATAGGTCGTATTCACTTCAATTTGAAAGTTGTTGCAGCATTGAATGCAATTTGACCTATGCAGTAACCTGGATGTGCTATCCAGGTACAAATCATGACCCAACCTCCCAGACAAGTCTGGTACTTATGGAATGAGGAGAGATGGCAGGCCTGGGTGGAAAGAGCAAGAATTGATCCATGATTTAATCTCGAATGCGTGTGTGGTAATAGACGCAACTTATCACTGCTCATATTCCGCCCCTATTACTTGAATATCTTGAATAACAGAGACTGAGCACTCCTACAAATGAATCTAGCTCTTATGAGTGTAACTGACGTAACACTGAAGGTCACCCGCAAAGGTGAATCAGTGGTAATTAGCGCCATTAACGCACGCATGGTCAGTAATCAAATCCCCGTGGTGAATTTTGTCCAGACCTACTTAGACTTTCTTTCCCATCTCGATCCACTGGCACTAAACTCTCACGGGAGGATGGAGCCATAGCTTTCACATTAGCCTCAATAGGTAGCCCTGTAGCGTCAATAGGTTTTAGCGGAGTACATAGAAAGAAACTAGAGATGCAGAGAAAATGTAGAGGATCACAATCATCATCCCTACTACGTAAATCAGCAGTTTTGTGGGTCTGCCTGCCTGTTTGCCTATCTGCTTGTTTGTTTGCAATTAGAAGGTTCGCTGGCTAGGGAAGGTGGCCGCAGCATGGTCCAGGCGGTGAGAAATTACTCAATTGTCCAACAGCATATACAATAGTAGGAGCTTGATCGGGAGCATGGACGGTAGTGGGCGGAGCTAGGCCAGTGGGCGGGACGCCAGTGATTCGGTGCAGTCATATGTCAGATTCGACAGTCATCGGTTACCATCAAAATTAGAAGTTTTCGAGAATTTAGGCAATGGATCGTTAGATGACGGGGTTATGGTGGTTTTCTTACGGGTGACCCATCTTCCAATGTTAAAAAGCAATGCGTAAGAATGTCGTGCGCGGCAAAAACTGGTGTTTACTAGAAGTACATATTAGGAGGTATGTTATCCTTTTTTGTTCTCGCCTTCTTTCCCCTTTTATAGAAATGATGGTATGCAATTCACCAACCCTGCCTTTCTCTACTAGCTCCAGTTAGCAGCATATCCATGGGCCGCATCCTATCCATCCCCCAGGGGAAGGAAGCCTTGCCGCTCATTCTATCCTAGGATTGGTGGAGATAGGGTTTCGCCATAGGACCAGCCATGCTCCGCGCTCATACAGCGCGACCGCGAAATAAGAATGCTTCAGCAGGAGAGGTAGCTGCATCACTCGTTTGATGGCGTGTCTTATGACGCAACCCTGTTTCTCCTCACTTTGAGGAAGGTTCAGCGGCGGGGAACGCCTCCCTGTGGGGGAGGATAGGATACGTTTATTCGCTGAGTATGAATGCTGTCTAAGGAAGGGTTTATATTT